AATTTGTATGTTTCCAATTTAGCATGTCCCTCCTTGTCATTATCGTCTAATGATTGGATGTTCACATGTTTTATTGTTCCTTTTTTCTTAAAAGGTTTGACTACGGGCTGTACACAATGGATTATATGGACGCATGGGATGACAAGAAGATTGTAGCTTCATCACTTGAGAAAGTATGTGTTTCCATTCTAAAACTTTCTTATTTTTGCAACTCCTATTTTTGTCTCTAAATATGCTTGCTCAGTTTTACTCTCTTTTTTTTTTTTCATTATCTCTCTGCCTAGGGGTCGGTGCTAGAGTACAGGAAGCACGTTGCTGCACTACTCCTTCTATTAGAACGCAATGTGGTTAAGCTAGATGACTTTGTGAAGAAGTATGATGCCAAGAAGACCTGATCAAGTTGATGCTATGTACCTTAGGTGGTGTCAGGAGAACGATGTGCATTGAAACACCAGAATTCTTGTAAATATGGAGTCCTATTATGCTATGTGGCAATATGTGAATGCTTGTAATCTTAGGTTATCATACCCTAGAAACATCCTGGCATGATGTTGATCTACTTTTGGTAGCAACTAAAGTCTGCTAGTGTTGCAATGTTGTGTACTATGAACATCTTTCTAAAAATGTTGGTTAGTTCTTTAGCTTGTGTTGCAACATTTCTTTTTCTATTGGTCCATGCTTGTCAATGTTTGTCCACTTTTGCAACAATGTTGAACATATGCACGATCTGGTAGTCAACCTTTGCTTTTGCATAGCCACAATTTCATATGTAATAGTAGTGAGACTCAGCTGTTTCATTAGAGTATTTCAGATGTAACAGTAGTCCACCTTTGCTCTTGCATGGCCATATTTTTTAGATGTAACAGTAGTGAGACTCGGCTATTTTATTAGAGCATTTCAGATGTAACAGTAGTGAATTTATGTTGTTTTATTAGAGGATTTTTAGATGTAACAATAGTGAGACTCAGTTGTTTTATTAGAGCATTTTAGATGTAACAGTAGTAAATTTTTGCTGTTTTCATGACCACATTTTTAGATGTAACAGTAGTGAGTCTCGGCTATTTTATTAGAGCATTTCAGATGTAACAGTAGTGAATTTATGTTGTTTCATGACCATATTTTTTAGATGTAACATATGATTCAGGTACTTGCAACATATGATTTAGGTACTTGTAATAGACCGCTACTACCAATTCGACATGGTCGATTAGAGTATCAGAAAATGGCATAACAGAACATCAATATGCTTTTTGCCATACTTCACCACATGAAGCTGTCTTTTGCTGCGGGTAGTCTTTAGGGTACATCCACTCAAACTTTGATACATCACATTTGAGAACATCACTTGCAAGAGCAGCAATTAATTGTATTATAAAATGCTATAAATTAAATTAAAAATGATCTAGTGTTATGACCTAATTATGAACAAGAACTCAAACTAGAGCTTCAACTCCATTTCTTTCATTGCTTTCAGTATCTCTTGTGCCGTTTGCATGTATTTGCATGTTTGAACGCTATGCCCGTCTTCATTGCAATAGGAGCATGGGGGAGGTTTCTTACTTACCTCCTTCTTCTTTGATTTACTCTTCTTTATAGCTTTCTTCCTCACTTGCGGCACAATGCTCTTCTTCCTTTTCACTTTATCCTTTGGCCTTCCTGGTGTATCATTGGCGGGAGGGTTGTTCACCATGGTTGTGTTGACCGTCCTTTGTTCTTGGCATTCATCTACTTCCATACTGCTGCACTTCCGGCTGCCTTAACATCTTCCCAAACCTTGTCTATCCCTTGTGAAGCAATTTTATACTTGTTAGGAGCAAAACAAGCATCTGCTGCTAGCCCACTCATTTTTCTGCATAATGCATTATATCTGAGCTTGTTGGTTGTAGGAACACCAAAACAAGCTTCAAGTGATAAGAGGTTTTCACTGATCTTTATGGTTGCTTCCTCTGACCATCTTCTAAGCAAGTATTTCTCTAGAATTTGTTCTACATCGCAGCTGGTGAATACTTTCATAATGTGGGGACATAAAAGTCCATCTTGCTCAAACATATTGCAGGTGCATAAATATGTTGTTGCATTATCTTGGACTAAAATGTTGTAGGTTTTCCATGTTAGCTGACCGCATCTGCAATATCTCTATGGAAACACCTTCACCCTCTATAGTGACATACCCCTTCTTGCATGATGTTGAGTCACGTAACAGCTCCTAGAATATGAAGAAAACACTCCTAGTGTAGAAGCGAGCAGCTTGCTTCTCAAATACATATCTCCCCCAAAGCGGTGGTTCTGAAATCTCACCCTTGTAGCCTTCAAGATTCTCTTTCTCAATCCTTGTGTCCATGATGTACTCATATTGTGTTACAAATTGCAGCACCGAATCTTGTGGATGCACTAGCTTCTTGAAGAGTGAATTCATACTTTTCGACCTTCCTATAGTGCTTGTGAAAGAGAAGAATGATTTCTTGAAGTATGCTGGCGCCCACATTGTCCTAGCAACTGACATGTTCTGAAATGCCTCATTCTTATGTAGGTTGTACTTCTCCTCCAAGCTATGCCACATGAGTTCAAATTCTTCTGGTGTTTCAGTATGATTAATGCAAGAATCGAACTCATTAGCAAATTCTTCACTAGAGTTGATCAGCCAACCAAGTTTCTCACAAGCCTTGCTCACTACATGAAATTTGCAGCATCTATGTACATCATCAGGGAAAACCAGCGCTATTGCAGCCTTCATGGCCTTATCTTGGTCGGTCATTATATTCCTTGGTTCGAGCCCACCCATTGCTTCTTTCAAGGTTCGAAATACCTAGACAAATGATTCAATCGTTTCGTCCAGAAGCAAGGCACAACCAAGCAATATGCTCTGCATATGGTTGTTCACACCAACTATGGGCGCAAATGGCATGTTGTACCTATTAACACAAAAGGTTGTGTCAAAAAAGATACAATCCCTGAAAGTCCTGTACATCTCCCTTGTCCTTCCATCCACCCAAAACAACCCCCTAACATCATTGTCACTATCAATCTTCACCGCATAAAAAAGGGTTGGACTTTTAGACTGCTGCTTCTGGAAATACTCCAATGTTGCCTCCATATCTCTTAAATGAACTCCCTTCCTCAAGTGACTCCTCAAGTTTGAAACATCCTTGCTGTTGTACGACAAGTTTCCAATCCCAGCATAGAAATCAGAAAGCACAACCAAGATTTGCATGGTGCTAATGTTCCTATGGTGGAGTGTCTTCAGAAGCTCATAATCTACAAACGAAATGCGCCGATGGGACCTTAGTTGTTTCCTTCTTCCAATCTGCTTCACCAAGGGATGTGTGTGTTCTACTTTCATCACAACCACTCTCCATTTACCGTCCCATAGACCAACTGCCATATGTGCCTTGCAGTCGTATTTTTTGACAGTGCTGCACTTCTTTGACGCTGTGGTTAGTACAGCCGAAGAACTCTTCTTCTTTGAGGCCTTAGCTTGTGCTACATCTTTGGTCGAGCTCTTCCTCTTTGAGGCCTTAGCTTTTGATACATCATTGGTCGCCGTGCTAGTTGAAGTGTTGTCCTCCTGCTCACTATTTGGCCTTCTGGCATGTGTGCACTCAAATTCCTTCCTAATAAGCTCCTTAATAACACTACTGTTCCTTGATGATGTAACCCGGATACTGAAACCCATTTTGAATGCATAAGCATTGTAAACTCTCCTCGCTTCTTCAACACTATCAAATTCCATCCCCACAAATGGCACAACAGGCTGTGAACACACAACATCTTCTTCTTCATGGTAAACTTCTTCTTAGATGACACATCCATATCAATATAGCCTTGCACAACAGTGGCATTGTTGGAGACACTCTGATTGATATCAATTTCACCTTGGCCTTGCAAAACAATGTTGCAAAAGTTTTAAGCATGACACACATGTGCACCCTCCTTAAAGGAAACTAATGAAATAATGCTTGATGTAGTAAAAAGATCTTACTTCAGCAATAATTCCACGTGATGTATAAACAATTGTGTGACTGCAATTGTTATTGCTCGAGCTTGCGGCATTTTGTGGCAGTCCAACAAATGTACTGTAGCATGCTGGCACTATTTACATCCTGCATATACCCCATGTTGCAAACTACATAAGTAGATGTTTCACGTGCTATAATTCTATGTTTCCTTGGTACAAACATGAAGACAAGCAACCATGGACTAGATCAAATGAACACAATAAATACATCATATATTCGAGGTCATCCTGTTTTACACCCCATGTTGCAAACTACATAAATAGATGTTTCACGTTCTATAATACTCTGTTGCAAATGCTAATTTGCATACAGTCTGCTACAGATAAGGACAAGGAACTATCCACTATTGCAAGCATAGGTCGGAAGAAGCTGGAAATCGTAGATCTTACCTCAGCCACGCCATGAACAGATATGGGAACGCTCCTGGAACTGGCAGCTGCGAGATCTCCATCTAATCGACGAACTGGTAATCTGTTGCTCGAAGCACCTCCTCCATGAGTCTGCTTGAACAAATCCGCCGAATGGTTTGCAACAATTGGGGGTGAGTGATGTGCATAGGGATGATTTTCTAGGGAAACTCAATTTGTTGCAGTAGGTGAGATATTAGGGATCGATTGTTGCAATGATTGTCGAGCGGCGAGGAAGAAGCCACGCTCGGCACGCGCGGCACGGAAGAAACACGGTCGACTGGAGCAGCACGCGACGGGAAGAAAGTGAAGCAAGATTTCTGGGCCTGTTCGGTACACGGGCTGTCCGGACGCCAGCCTTAATTCAATGCCTATTCTTTTTGGTCCAGTACTCTGAAATCGCTGAGTTGTCCCATAATACTGTATGAATAACCGGACTGTCCAAACGGCCCAGCTCTAGGAATGGGAAGATAAACAGCCCATTACTAAAGCCCTGTCCATCCCATCCAGAAAGACGACGGCTAATCGAAAGCCCAAAAAAAGAGAGCGGAGAGGAGGAAGACGACGACGCGGCACCATGGCGGCGACACAGGCAGCGTCGGCGTCCCCAACCTACCACCGCGCGTCCCCGGGGACGTCGCCGCCGCAGCCACCGTACCCCAGCGCTGCCAGGATCGCCGACTCCGCCTGCTTCCCCCAGTACACCGCCTCGCTCAAGTGTACGCGCGCAGCTGCCCATCCGCCCTAATCCCCAATCTGGCCCTCCTCTCCTTGACCCATTCACACTCCAGCGATCGCTAGGAAGGTGTTACTTGATACATGCCATACTTGTATGGCCGCTCGCTGATGCTGTCGTTGTTTCTTGATTAAAGGTTTGGAGGCCAACCAGGACAAGAGCAAGTGCCAGCAGCAGTTCGACGATTATAAGGAATGCAAGAAGAAAGAGGTTTGCCCCCTTTTTTTCATCCCTGTTCCTTAATCTTGAATGGTGGTAGAAAGCAGATGGTTTCAGCTGTTTCATATACGTCTCGATTTCCTCTGTTTGGTGTCCGAGATGTCTCAGTTGAGCAAGTTTAGGACTTATTTTATTTTATTTTTCGAAAAGGAAGTTTAGGACTTAATTCTTTGGTTCAAATTCCTCTTTTAAGGACCTCAGATAAGGGTGAACTCATGATTACTACACAGACTCAGTACTCTAACCATGTCATGTTGGCCTACTATTTTTGTTGTGTATATGATCTCAAGTTTTCGGCACAGTTCTGTGCAGCTAATCTGTGCACCAATGGGTGAAACTGATTTTTAAGCATATCTTTCTGCTCTAAAATGCATGTTTCTTTTCGATGTCAGATAAATTTTGTCATCTACCTACAGAACTGGGTAGTGGGTTACTGTGTCTGTGATGCAGTATCCCAACTGTGCTTCCTTGAGTTCAATACTCTATGTAGGGTGCATTTGATCGGCGAGCTTATGAGCAAATACAAGCTGATTTTTCATGTTGCTAGTCTTTATATATTTGTGTAGTCATCCATTTAGGTGATTGTTAACCCTTTGTTTTTTATTTTTTTCTTCATCTACATATTAGCTTGACCCCCTATCCATCCAGTATCCTGACTGCAGAAGTGATTCCAATGATATGAGTGGTGCTCATTTCTCCTTAGATCTGCTCTGATACAAAGTCTGAATTTTTTACTGTTATGGCCTGAATACTACTAAATATCATATGGTCCTTTACTTACATTTTTACAAGGTGAATTAATGGCATCCTCTTACTACCATTTTTTTATTGTTGCCCTGTCTTCTGAACCTCCCATAGTGCTTATTGACCTTCCCAAGTCACAAAGTTAAGTTAGCGCCCCCAAAAAAAAAAAAAAAACACACCATTAAAAGCATTAAATGATTGTGGTGTGAAACCTGTACAGAAAGTTATATACCGCACAATCAGTATATAAATTTGGATAAGGTTGCTGGTCACAGATGAACTCAATTTATGTCCCACTCATGAACTTTAGCAGATCTGATAAGATTGGAATGTAAAAATTGTATATGTCAATTGCCATCAAATAGTAATATAGTTGCGCATGCCCAGTGAGCCGTATTTTATTTTAACAAATTGAAATGACACGTCGTTTGTATGGTTAACTCTTCTTCTTAATTACAATGATGCGCAAATCTTTTGCGCATTCGAGAAAAAAAAACAAATTGAAATGACACTTCTCATATTGAATGAAGTACTAGAAGTCCAGGTTATTTGATTCATTAATCTGAACCAGTGTGTACCGTGTATCAAAATTTTGCTTTTAACATGAGTGCTTCTCTTGGTACTATTTTCTGATACCGATTAGCACTCTATAACTCTATATATACACTTGGTTGCCAGATTTTTCTTTCCATATTATTTCACTTCTTTGGGTATCTTATTTCCTTTGTGTTTCAATGTTTTGCAGAGGGAGGCTCGGCTCGAACGGAATAAAACCAGATCACTCTTTGGGTGAACAATGGTGTGTCCCACCTGAGCAATTTGCCGGTGATGTGTAATAACTAATAAGTCATTTCCTGATGTTAGCGAAATCACGGATTCTTTGGTTTCATGATGATCCCTTTGCTTGTGCAAGGTAGGGAATAGTAGACCGGCTCTAGATTGAGGGAGATGTAAAGTCATCTGACAACAGCTCATTAGCACAATGGCTTTGGCGAACGAATCAAATGAGCGAGGATGTATTTTGAGAACCAGCAGGCGTCATGACATGACAGTTTGTTCAATAAATTTGTATCCCTAGAACGATTGTATTCCAAAAATTTTCCATGTGTTACTACCAGCTTTGCATCTACCTTTTCGACCAGCCGTGCTCTGTGGAAGTGTGCTGATTGCTGAATGCTCAGTATCTTCCGTCAGGGTGGTTGTTTATCATAGCAAAGATGGTGTTAATACGTATCTGGAACCTTATCGCTTGTAACCCTTTGTCCTTTGCAATGCATAAGGGCAAGCAAGATTACGTGGGAAACGCAAGAGAAAAAAAGTAGAAGCCAGTATATGGGCCAATAAACTAGAGTTTTTTTAAAGACCTGTGCATCTTTTATATTAGGGTCTTTTGGATCTTTTTATTTGGAGGAATTGAAATCTATTAAATAAATTAGGCTATTATGACTTGGAATTTGATATTCCACCATTTTCTCAAAGTTCAAATATAAGCCTATTTTAAATTTATAGGATGGGAGATAAAAATTGGTTCTATAGATCATCGTTCTATATTTTTATTTTATAACTTATAACACGCTCTTCAACTCACTCCCCTATGGTAGAAATGCAACACATAAGTATCTCTCTTATATAGTCAATAATAATATATAAATGTAATTCATATGCAACCATATTAGCTTAGTTAATATATGTCTAGATAATGATTATTAAAATGAATTCAATCCCAAGAATCAGGGCCTTTGAGAAAACAAGAAGGTGAAAGAACCCCATGCAAGACAACCTACTTTCCTCCACTAGAAAAATAACACTCAATCCAAACAACAAAATACAACCCAGCCATTGTGACAAGTTACTCTACCACTTCCACAAGGTTATATCTATTCGGAGGTGTGGATTTTCCGTACGAATGATCGCAGGCTTGGAGAAAAAAACAATACAGTTGGAGCAATAGGCACCCACAATCAGTTGAATCCAACACAGGGTTGTTGGCTTGTTGCAGTAAAAGTAATCAAAGATCTTCTGCAAAACTAGTTCAATGCTGAGCACTTCTCTCAGCCTCACCGTGCTGATCCTCAAAAACACAAAGCAAACGATACATACACTAAAAGTCAATCTACCACTATCGAACACTAATCCAAGCTATAAATCTCCAGATAGCCGAAGATCACCTCCGGGATGCCCTCAACACGCTAAATGCCAAATCTAATGCCCTACGAGTCACGGTTCACCAAACGATTAACCGCTGGTTTCAGGAGAAAAGAGTCTTCGGGACTGGAAATTTACGAAGAGCAAAGCAGGGACGGTTTGAAAGTCTTCGGGACCAAGCAGAAGCAGGGACCGGTTGAACTGCAGCAGCTGCTGCTTTATGGGCGAGGGTTGCTGCTTTCTCTTTGGATTCCACTATTCGTGCTCCCTTTGGATCCGCCAAAAGGGATTTCTGGAAGGATTGTGGAAATCCTGTCGCAATGATAATCACGTGTATCTCACCAGTGTAATGGTCATCAACAACAGCACCAAAAATTATGTTTGCAGAAGGATCAGCCAGGCTTGTCACAATCTGCAAAACGTGAATACATGGTCAAAACGATCTAAAACAACTACATATTTGGTTCTTCTATCTGAGATATATCCAGCATTTCTTAAATTTTCAGGAATTTATTCTTATTAAAAACACCATCCAAGGATCAATAAAGAACTTGTAAGGAATCCTACACGCACCTGGGACACCTTGTTCACTTCTTGCAAAGTGATGTCCTTCCCACCAGTAATATTGTACACGACACCAGTAGCTGCCTCGATGGATGATCCAATCAAAGGAGCAAGTGTTGCCTGTTCAGCAGCTTCTTGGGCCCGATTTTTGCTGGAAGAAACACCAACGCCAAGCATGGCAGTTCCAGAGTTTTTCATGACAGCTTTTACATCAGCAAAATCAACGTTGACAAGTCCCGGTATCTGCAATGTTTTCTCATAAGTTACATGATCACAATTTGCAGATAAGTTAGAGCAGGAGAGGGGAGAAACCACCCACTGTGATAATGTCTGAGATTCCTTGAACACCCTGACGAAGGACATCATCTGCAAGGAGAAATGCATCTTGCAAGGGCATGTTTTCATCGGCAACATCTAACAACTTATCGTTTGGAATCACAATAAGTGTGTCTACACTCTTTTCCAGCTTCTCTAATGCTTCCAATGCCTGAAATGGGCACACACAAGTCATGACATTAAGTAAATATAGAGAAAAGAAACAAAATTTATTTAGAAAGGGGAAGTTGGCCAAAAACCTGGACATATAAATTCAAAAGTAACAACAAAATGTATACCGACTGGGGAAAATATTGATAATGACATGTTTTGAAATATTTCACAATATAAACATCCCTCCATAAGCTACCCACACCCAGATGGCTGCATGTAGTTTTGGGCATCAACCATGCAGAAAGTCAGAAACAAAAATGATGAGATGAAGTACAGGAAATGCTATATTTGACCTGCATTTTGTACATGATCAGCAATAAAATGTGGCTGGTTGTCATTTACTACTACAAACTAATGCCTCCATTAGACAAAAGAAAGTCACAGAATGAGATATGACATTTTGAATTCTAATTCAGGAGTGAACGGGACCTCAGACACATGCCTGTAGAGAGCGCTTACGGCCCTCAAAGCTGAATGGATAGGTGACAACACCAACAGTAAGATAACCAGCTTCCTTTGATATCTGAGCAACAACTGGAGCAGCACCGGATCCAGTACCCCCTCCCATCCCAGCTGTTATGAAGACAAGATCTGAATCCCTCAGGGCAGTGGCTATGGCTTCTCTTGATTCCTCAGCAGCCTGCTCTCCCAAATTTGGATTTCCACCAGTACCTGTACATGTGATACATAATATCATATTTACTGAATCTAGCCAACCTCTGTAACATTTTCAATGGAAATTTACAGTATTTACAGTTTTGCATGGTGCATGTGTTATAGGGTACAGTTCATTCAGTTGATCAGAATTCCATGTACTGTGGTTGTTGTCGCAAATTAGCAGAAGACTAACATTTGCACGAAAATGTTTCTTTTACACACATCGAGCATAAATAAAGGGGGCAGATAACATTACCTAGTCCACGAGTCAACTGCTCTCCAATTTGCAGAGGATATTGCGCTTGTGAATTAATAAGGGCTTGGGAATCGGTGTTTATAGCATAAAATTCAATACCCTGAAATCGTATAGTTCAATTATCAGAACTTAAGGACACAATGAAGAACATACAGTAATTGCCACAGTTAAATCATACATAGGACTTGTACCATTCAGTAGATATTCCAAAAAAATCCAGAACTAATCATATCATAAACAACGACCTGAAGCAAATCTCTTGTGCTAGACTAAAGCACTGTAGTATGGATGGTGGCATAGATTGGACGGAGAGAATGTAAACAAAATGGCCCATAAACATTTAACTTTATCTTTTGGTAACTTAAAGCTGTATGGATGGTGGCATAGATTGGATGGAGAGAATGTAAACAAAATGGCCCATAAATATTTTATCTTTTGGTAACTTAAAACTGTGGATCCGCATCAGATTATCAAATATTTTTTTGAACGACCAGATTAGCAGATATCACCATTTCACATAAAAACAACCGGCGCTACTTCACCGAATCTCATGCTCAACTAAGGCAGTGTTATGATTATGAACGGTGTCACGGAATTGAACAGGGAGCAAGAATGCAACGGGGTACATCATTCCAAATTTACATCAAACAGATCTAGGCATCAACCCGGGTGTGAAAATAAGCCCAATTTCCAGAATGAAACGGACAAGGAGCGCCGCCAGCCCGCCACTACCTGGAGGCCGCTGCCGATCATGCGGTTGACGGCGTTGTTGCCGCCGCCGCCGACGCCCACCACCTTTATCCGCGCCGTCTCCACCGGCGCGAACGAGCACCGCACGGTCGCGCGGCGGGGCCGCCTGTGGTCTCGCCACCCGCTTCGTGGCAGTGCGCGCAGGTGGCCCGGACCCGGGAGGCGGACGAGCGCGGAAGCCGAGGAGGAGGCAGCCGCGGATGACGCCATGGCCACTCGCTCCCCTCGTTGGCGAAATGCGGGGACGAGGCGGGGTGGCGTGAGAGGTTGAGAGGAGGGGATCTGAGTTCTGACTTCTGAGGTGGTCTAGGGTTTTTTGAGAATTTTGGAAGGTTTGGTTTTCATCTGTTCGTGTGTAATTACTCTCGGTTCTTTCCTACAGGTAAAAAATCTGTTTGACGACGGATTAAGCGTCACTTTCATGTTGCTGAATTCTATTCTGAAATTTAATATGTTAGGTTTGAAATGTACGTTTTTTATTTACCTTATTTTACACCCAAATGTCTAGTAGTATAAATTATTTGTTATATTGATATAGCAAAAGTAACATGTTACAAAAATGTTTTGAAAAGCACACGATAATATTAATGCATCCCCTGCATGGGAAAAAGCAAAATACTTTTAAATTTATCTTAAGTCAAACTATTAACCAATACCTAAATCATCAAACTACTTTCATTGAATCCATTAAAAAGTATTGTATTGATAATGTTTTCGTTTTATATATACCTAACCAGATCAAATATTCCAAAAAAAGTTTGGTTTTTAACAATTTGCATTTGGAACGATAGGAGTAGAAAAAGCATGTAAAAGTACATACGATATACGATCTATGCAATGTCTATTTGATCTAGAAGCAAATTATCAAGCACATATTTGATCTAGAAAAAGCTCTTGTAGTAGGATATCAAGTTTTGTATACGAGGAGGAAAATCGTACTTACTAGAGGTGAAATTATTTTTACCTACTATATACGTGATTCCGGCCCATTATAGGTCTGGAAGGAAAGCGAAAGAAGAAAGAGGGCCCAAGTGATTCCTGTCAACTCGCATGCATCGCGGCCCGTCTCGGCCCAGTCCACGACCTCTCCACGCGTTCGACGCTCGTTCTTCCCTGCAACTGCAAAGGCGTCCCGGGGCGGGTCCACTTGCTCAGAAACCGCACCCCTACCCAGTACCCACTCAACAACCGCATCCAAAAACCGTGGGCACTCTCGTCATTACGCACCGCGCCCTCCTCCATCCACCCGGTCTAGACACGGAGCCCCACCCCGCCCGCGCCCATGACATGTGGACCCATACTCCCGCAGCCCACGCCATCAGAAGCCGCGTAAGAGGATTCGTGCTACGCTTAGCGACCTGTCCTTTTCCCTCATCTTTTTTTTCTCCCCTCCCGAAGAAATTTGCCCTATTAGACCGTCTCTGATCAAAACCTAAAATGGGTCGTGTGAACGGTACTGCAGCAGTTTCTAAAGCAATACCTATATACGAGACTTATTTTAGGTTACAATAAAGGTATAATCTAAATACGAGTATCTTTTTTTTAAGATTCATTTATATAAAGGATTCTCTTTTAGATTCTGTTATCGAAAAAAATAAAAAATAGGTATCGAATTTTTTTTTTTTTGTCTATAGCGCTACCTAGTTATGGAACGAGGGTTGCGTATAAGGTGATGTTGACGGAGATGCTCGTAACAAAACATAGGCCAAGAGGCTAGACCGAGGGGCCAGAAGAGAGAGAGAGAGAGGGCCGAGGAGAGAGATAGAGAGACAAAGGGGGAGAGACCAAGAGCCAGAGACACAGAGGGGCGGAGGAGAGAGAGAGGGAGAGAGGGGAATCGCGGGAGGGAGGCGGGGTTTTGGCGAGATTTGAGTTTTCCCCAACGCTCCCGCCATGGTGTCCGACCAGGAGATCGCCAGCTGCGTCGAGTCCGTCCTCCGCGGCTCCGCCGGCGGGCCCGGGGAGGCCTCGCTCGCCGCCGTGCTGCAGCAGGCGGAGGCCACGCTCGGCGTCGACCTCTCCCACAAGGCGGGCTTCATCCGCGACCAGATGGACCTCTTCTTCGGCCCGCGCCTCCAGCCGCAGCCGACGACCAAGCCCCAGCCGGCGCCTCCCCCGCCTCAGGCCGTCGTTACCCCCGCGGCCGCCGTGCCGCAGCCCCAGCCTCAGCATCAGCATCAGGTCCTGCCGGAGGTGCAGGGGCAGCCGCAGGCGCCGCCTCCGGACCAGCAGATGCAGCCGCAGCAGCAGCAGCTCCCGCCGCTCCAGCAGCTCCCGCCGCTCCAGCAGCAGCTCATCTTCCAGACCATTCCCCAGCTCCCCGCCATGGCCCCCGTTCCCGCGGTCTCCGCGCCGCCGGCCGTGCCGGCCATGGCGTTCTACCCGCCGCCACCGCTCGCCTTCCGCTACACCACCGGCCTCGCTGGGGCTGCCACGGGTGGGACCGTCTCCTTCCAGCAGCCGGCCCCTGGGGCTGGTGGCACTGCTACCCCAACCGCTGCACCGCAGGTCACCGGCGACAACAAGGAAAGGTGAGCTGTCGATGGAATTAGGGTTTGCGTTCCGCGGATTGAGGTGATTCGTGTGTATATCTGTCGATTGGCGCGGAAATCTACTTTGTTTTGACATCTAGTCCGTCGATTTGCATGATTAGGGTTGTTGATATTGAGGATTCAAGGTCTATACTGAGGATGCCTAGTTGGCATCTTGCTAAGCTAAGATTAGGGTTTTGGGTTATGGCCTTGTTAGTGGTTGTGTCAGGTTCCACTTTAAGTTCAACTGGTTCTTATGTACTGTAGTGTACTAGTGTTCAGGATATGTGACTTCGGATGGCATTTTCTGCCCCCTTTGACTTCAGATAATCGGTCAGTAACTGTTTAATTGTAGTTTTGTGGCCAATTTCTTTCAACTCAACGGTATTGGTCAAACATAGAAGAATCCAGATGTTCTGTCAACAGCTTGTATCATGCATATTTTGTGCTTACAAAAATATTTTGCAAAGCAGAAAGGGTCAATATTCTGTATACACTTATAAGATACAAAAAGGCTTGCACATTAGTAGTTTACTAAAAAAGGCACAACCAGCCAAGCATGGGAGGCATGTATTTCATGAATTTGTTTGGATTTATAACACTACTTTCCGCTTTCTGATATCAATTGTATTTTCCTTGTTAGTTTGAATCTTATTTCTGACTTGTCTCTGTGCATGAAACGGTCCCAGTAGACAGCACAAATCATTTGCAGACATTTACTAGAGCCCCCGTGTGAGGAAAAAAAAACTGTTATTCTGTTATGTACTGTACTTGAGTTTTCATATGTACTATTTGCAACTGACATCTTCATCCTCGACACTTGATTCTTCGGTTTTTTTTGGTAAGATTCATTTTCTTGGTTGGTTTGATGGGGTTGCATGCACCTTTTGCACCTATGTCTTTGTTTCTTCTTTGAGATGTATCGACTAAGCTTGTGCAACCTGTCGCACAGTACTATGGGAGCAGGACTGCGTGTCCAGAAATTTAGTCTATTTTGTTTGGAGAATATGTTGAGGACTCTTGTATTTGACCAACATTCCTTTATAGGTTGTTCTGTTTTGCTGGTCACGATTGATCATCTGTTTTGAAACTTTACTCACTACTCAGCACGTCAACTGATTTGTACTCTGCTATAGTATCTTGGTTCTTTTCCTTTTCTGAAACTCACTGATTAGTGATATGTATGTAATTTCTTCTATCTTCTAGCGCTTCTAAGCGGAAAAGAGGTGGACCTGGTGGTTTAAATAAAGTTTGTGCAATTTCACCTGAACTTCAGACCATTGTTGGTGAGACTGCCATGTCAAGAACTCAGGTACTACTCAATTCCATTACGATAGAAATTGACACACTCTGCACTCTTCTGGTACTCTTAGAATTATTGATTCTAGAAAATTAATATTAGTCTTCATTCAGATTGTGAAGCAGCTCTGGGCATATATCAGGCTGAACAATCTTCAAGATCCTGATGACAAAAGGAAGATCATTTGCAATGACGAACTTCGTGTGGTTTTTGAAACTGACACCACCGACATGTTTAAAATGAATAAATTGTTGGCTAAGCACATAACCCCACTTGACCCAAGTACATGCTTCTATTTCTTTTGATCAACATATGCAACTTCATGTTTGCGCTACTAAAGTTTAGTCCTGGATTTTGCTCAAGTGCTTCCTAATGACATTGCAGAAGATCAAGTAAAAAGAATGAAGGCTCCCACCGTGGCTCCTCAACCTGGGCCTCCCATTAATCAGCCCTCCATAGTTATTTCTGACGCACTAGCAAAGTTCATTGGAACAGATGGAACATTTCCTCAAGATGATGCCCTGAAATACCTGTGGGATTACATAAAAGCAAACCAACTTGAGGTATGGTTAGGTCCTACCTTTTTGTTTGCAGAATATCCATACCATGTGTTCTTACTTTAGCTGCAAGCCTGTAGTGAATATCAAGAATTGAACTGCACATTCACTGTTCTTTTTCTAGAGGTACATTGAGTGCATACACTGCAGACCATTCAATTCTTAGAACAAGTTTTCATTAATGTTCAGAAGCAGTATGACAGTAAAAAGTGAAGAATGACCGTGTAGAGTCAACAGTCAACACCTTCGTGTTAATGCTACAAACCTTGGACTGTATCCCCTTTTTGGCTAACTGTCTGGTTATATTTTGTTAACCTATGTCACTGTTGTCTGTTTATGGGCAAGAAGACGTGGGTTGTCCATAGGGGTTGTCAGGATAACTAGGAATGTTCTTACTGGGAAGATTTTATTAGGCTATAATGGGAGATGCAGAGAGTTGTGGGTGGCATTGTGTAGATATTTGTTTATTGGACTAGGTATTTTGTTTATTGAAAAATATATTAGTTCAGATATCCTGGAATCTGATTGAGGTTAGGACAGTGTCGACCTGAAAAGTTCTGCACAGATTTGTACTGGCACTAGCAGTTAAAAAAAGTCTGTTTTTTTTTTGTCTGTTTCGTTGTCTTTTTTCCAGTCATGATTATCAAGTGTAAAGTCATTGGGAGCTGTGAAATTTATGGCTTAACACACTACATTTTTAATTGCTCTCTTTGGTAATGCATAGGATGTCATCAATGAATCAATATTATGTGATTCAAAACTTCAAGAGCTATTTGGCTGTGAGAGCATTCCTATGTCAGGACTATCAGAAATGCTTGGTCACCACTTCATCAAGAAAACATAGCAAATCCCCATTAACTGGTGAGTTTCTGGCTGTATCTCCTCTTTCTAGTGTCACATTCGCTGATTTCAGTCCAGATGTCAGGGATGATAGTAATTTTCCCTAAATTATTTTTATTATGGCACATTGGTACAAGTTAGAAATTATTTTCTACCTACTCAGTTGAATCATAGTAAGTTTGATATAAGTTTTTGTGCTGTCTTATTCTGATTTCATACCTTGTGTGCAGATCTAGGATTGCAGTGTGGCAGATAGGCCTAACATTACAATATGGTGTTCTTGACAGAATGGACAGCATAGCGTATGCATTTCTTCAATGTTATGGATTATGAATTGTGTCTGGCAAAGATCAGATTATTTGCGGTAGCCTGTACTTTGTTATGCGTGCCGGCTACCACTGCGGTGTCTGGTGTAACCTTTTTACTGAATTCGTAGTGTTAGTTCCTAAATGTCAAAATGTCATTGCTGACTATGTAAAGTTAAGCCTTCTATTTGAGTGCCAGATTGTACCCTTAAAAGTCAAGTTTTTCTTAGGATCAATACTATAGAGAGATGGTGATATTGATGAAGATGTTAGCCATAGAATCAAAGCAGAGTGGATTAAGTGGCGTCAAACATCTGGTGTCCTATGTGATAAAAGGGTACCACATAAGCTAAAAGGTAAGTTTTATAGAACGGCGATTAGATCTGCTATGTTGTATGGTGTAGAATATTGGCCTACGAAAAGATGACATGTTTAATAAATAAGTGTCGCGGAAATGTATATGTTGCGTTGAATTTGCATCATACAAGAAGGGATTGAGTTCAAAATGATGATATACGTGATAGATTAGGGGTAGCATCAATTGAAGAAAAGCTTCTTCAACACCGGTTGAGATGGTTTGGACATGTCCAGCGGAGACCTCTAGAGGCACCGATGTGTAGTGGAATTTTAAACTAGAATAGTAACGTGAAGAGAGGCAGAGGAAGACCGAAGTTGACTTGGTAGAGATAATAAAAGGAGACGTGAAAGGATGGAATATCCTCGAGGACTTAGCCTTAGTTAGGAGTGCTTGGAAAATAGCTATTCATGTGTCTGAATCTTAATGATTTCTGTTGGGTTTTAACTCTAACCTATCTTAACTGGTTTGGGACTTAAAGACTTTGTTATTGTTGTTATTGGAAAATTTGACTTCAGTAGTTCACTGCCCACCAGTCTCTTCTTCAGAAGAAGAATTTTTCGTTGCATCAGTCGTTGCCCTCTTTGCTTTTAGGAAAGGTGGTGGTGCCCCTTTGAGACTTTTGATTAACTTTCTTACCTGAATGGTTGCTAAAATAATCAAATGTCAAAGTAAAAAAGAATGGTTGTTGGACACTTGCCGGCGTTATTCCAGTCTCCTGAGCTATCGATGTTTTACCACCGATAGCCTACCACGGGGGTACCCGGGACAGTTGTTCGGGCTTCGGCGAATAGCGGAATTCGGCGGTTACGCAAAGAGACTCATGATTTATACTGGTTCAGGCCCTCGACTTGGTCGAGTAATAACCTTACGTCCAGTTTTGGCGTTAGCCTGTTTGCATTGTATTGCTTTGAGTATCGGGTATGACTTCTCCTCTTACAATGGGTACCATCACCAGCCCTTTATAGTCCAGGCGCTAAGAGGCGTTGTTTGTGTCCTATTCGGATACAAGGTCAGAGTCCTAAGATACGCTTCGGACGTCTTTCCTTGTATAGTTTGCGTTGAAGTTTTGGTTTTGCACGTTGCTTTGCTCCGCGTTCTTCTTGGCGATTGGGTTGTTGGCCTTGTTACCAAGGCCTACCTCCCTGCAGTATGGTCTATGGGGGGCCCGTAGGGTTCTCCATCGACAAGCCCCCGAGCATTTCATGATTGAGCTTCAAGGGCCGAGTTGTTGTAGTCTTGATCCGGGTCCTTCTTGAAGTGAAATCTTGATATGGTCTTCTTTGATTCTTCTTTTGGCTGATGTGCACTTTTGCTTAATGTCCTCCGGGTTCTTTTTCCTTTGAGTGCAGGGTGTAGCCCCCGAGCCTTCTGTTTTTTGGTACAAAAAGCTGGAGGGTCAAAAAATTTAAAAATATGTTTTTCTGTGGTAGGTACTTGCAGTCCCCGAGCCTTCTCCGGGTTCTTTTCTGTTGAAAAGAAGCTGGAAGAAGGGTCTTGATTTGTACTCCTTTGCTGGTCACGGATGGGTCTTGTATAGCCATGAGTGAGCGTCTTCTTTTACTTTTTGTCAGGAATCTTGCTTTTGGGTACTATTCGCCTTTGTTGCTTTGCTCTTTTGTTCTTTTCCTCTCTCTTTCTTGTGATCTTTAGCCTTGCTTACTTCTGGTTTGCTATAAATACCTTCTTTGTTGATTGTGGTTCTGCCTTGAGTAGAAAAATTCTTCTTCAATTCTTTCGTCATTCGTAGATATGCTAGTGTGTTAGGTTGAGCAGCCCCCGGGCTTATGCTTGGTTGGTAATGATCATCTTTTATCTGCTCTTCTTCTTCGTGTCCATTGTCATTGCTACCGCCACTAGGTTTCTTGTTGCAATATTTAAGAATCTTGTCTCTATCTTATGTCTCGAGTTTATCCGGTCTGTTTGGCCGTCTCAGTAACCTTTGTATTTGTCTCTTGATCAATGAGATTTATAATTTTTCTCCGTCTGAGTTCTTTTTCAACTGTAATCCTTTGACACTGTAATTTTGTATGTGATCCTTCACACGTCTCCGAGTTGTTTGTTCGGTTACTTATTGTTGTTGTCATTCTGGTTGTTGGAGAATTCAATACATGTCTTCACGGGTTGTATTGTTGCTTGTGGAATATTCTCTTGGATATGCTTGTCCTTGAGTGCCGTTCTTTCACGCCAGAGTCCTCTTTCATTGAATTTTATCTTTTCATTGTGTCCTTTGTTAGATTTCTTCTGTTGGTGCTCCTAGTTCATGTGCACCGCTTCTTTTTGCCTATAAATGCCCTTCGAGTCTTTGCTTTGATTCATCGAGCCTTTTGTTGCCTGCTGAAGTCTTCTGTAGTTATGAATATGATAGTGTGTGAAGTAGAGCAGCCCCCGGACGTATTTTGTAGTTCTTGTACATTTTGTTGTAGCTGGAGGAAGTCTTGTGATGTGGGCTTCGTTCCTTCATCAGGTAGTTCTGGGTTGATCCTCGCCGTTTGTCTTGAGACTGTCCGGTGCAGATCAACACCTGATCCTACATCACGACGGGTTTGGGTAGACAGATGCCTACCGACTTCCCCTGGTCTATGTTATCCCGCCGTGCTACTGATTTCCGCCTTGGATGCACTACGTCCATCCTTTGAAGAAAACAGTGTAGCCGAGCGTAGTTTGTTCTACCGAGTAGCAAATTGGAGCACGTAGTCGTTCCAAAGCCTAGTTGTGTCCGGGCTCCTTTTTGCTACCTTGCTTGTCGTAGTGCCGAGTTCATTGGGTCTTATAAGATGTGTAATCTTCTATTTTTGAAGCCATTTGTAATGTAAAGAATTCTTGTCTTCAGAGTTGTCATTCATTTTTCTGCTGTAATCTGGTTATTCATGAGGCTCCCGAGTTCTTTCTTTAATAACCGGGTTCTTTTGTTCCTTGTGAGGTGGCCCTTCGTTTCTTCATGGTTGACGGGTTGTTCTTGTAGTAATCTGAAAACTCTATCGTGGTGCTGGATGGATAAGTCTGAAATCTGCCCGTTGGATCGTACCGTTGTGTAGATTTGTGCCTTCCGTCTTTTTAGCTGTGTCAGTAAATGGATCGTCGCGTGGTTGACGGTAGAAGCCGAATCGCCATATTGGTTTTGATGAAGGAATTAACTCCGCACTTAACTTTTTATGAAGAAAGTTTTAACTCCATCCTTATCTCGAGGAGGCTGTTGAACTGCCTGGGATGGCGATTTGGTCTCTATTTAACTGGCCACTCCACAATTGTTTCGCCATAGCCATAATGACGAAGAAGAAGTTCATCCATAGGCAGAGTGTCCGTAAGGTGTCGCGTTCTTCGCTTGTTTGCTCTCCGAGGATGGCCGTGGCGGCGGCGTCGAGCGGAAGGTCTTCATCGTCGCCTTCATTGCCAGCCCCTCCGGTGATGGGGAGGCTCCCCTTGTTGGGACATCAGCGCCGGTTGTCCCTCTGCAGAAGAAGGAGGATCCCTCGGCTGCTCCTGTGGTCACTCTTGTCCCCCTCTCTGCTGCTCACGCTACTTCGACAAGGGCGGATTTGATCGTCCTTAGCAGTGACAGTGAAGATGAGGTTGATTGGGAGGCGCTCGCCGCCGAAGACGAAGTCGACTGGGGCGCCCTTGCTGTCGAAGATGACGATGATGTCGAATCTGTGGGTAGCGGGTCTTCGGCGAGGAACTGATGATGGCTGGATGCATTGTCATTAGCCCTCGCTTTGATGTTGGCGTAAAGGATATCGAAGGGCAGATTGTTCGGTCGTAGATTTATCTTGGTGATTTGATGTATGTAGTAGTCATGTTCTTCTATGATCATCATAAACTTTGTTTCCCCAATTTCTCTTTTCCTTTTCTTTTGATGTGGCTTCTTTTGTTTCTCTGTGTGGATGTCTCTGCTTTACTTATTCGTCAGACGAATTGTGTGCGTGATCAGGATTTCTTCTGAGCACTTGCTTCGTGGTACGTATCCGTAGCTTTGAGTAGACGAGTTGTTTCCATTTGTCGTGAAATGACTCTTTGATAGGTGGAGTGCTTTGTCTGGCTTTCGTTTGCGCCATGTAAACAACTCGGTATGTGTAGAACGTCGTCTTGAGAGACTGTCTTCGAGTGCTTTGTCTGGCTCTCGTACAAACAACTCGTTATAAATTGTTGTTCTGTCAGACTTCATGTTCTTGCTAGTACTGAAAAGACTTAGGATCAACGATCTTGAGATTGATAAGCCTCTGAGTACTTCATGGTGGAGTTCTGTGAATTTCTTCTTGTTCCTTCAGGTCTTTGCCGAGCAGGGATTACCGGTGCTTTTTTCCCGGTTTTATGATTTTGTGAAGGGTGGCTTTTACCGGTGCATCAACAATGTGGTTTCATATGTCTTGGTTGTTGCCCCTGATGCTCTTTTTGAGCAGATTACTGAAGCTTCTGTAATGGCTGAGTTTTCAAGACACTGGGAGGAGGCCAAAGTTAGCTTAGTGGTCTATCAGACTAAATTCTTGATCAAATGAATGTACTTCCTCCTTCTCTTCCGTCTTCTTGAATAGATGTGAAAAGTCAACCTTCTTTTGATGTCCTTGTAATATACTTTGTCTCTGAATTTTTAAGATGTGAGTAGGCTTCGTCCTGTCTTTCTTTTCTTCTTAGATGTCTTTGAATAATATGGACAAGTTTTGCCCTGTCTTTCC